TTTATCATTCTCTCAACTTCAGTCATTTTCATCCAATTTTTAAAAATATCAATAGTTTGTCAATATTACAGCTTTTTGGACTATATTTATGAAATCAACAAAATTTAAGACTTGATGGGACACTCAAGATAATTTGGGTACATGCATAAATACAAAAATGCACATGCACGCTTTGTGGTTTAGGGTCTTGCATATATATATGCAAACGCAGGTAACGTATTTCAAATGTGGTGGAGTGTCACTTTCAGTCGGAGTGGACCACCGAATTGTAGATGGACCATCTAGTCTACACTTTGTAAATACATGGTCTGCTGTCGCTCGTGATGATCTTGATCTCTCAAATATTAAACCACCCTTAATGAACAGGATGTTACTTCGTGCCCGAGATCCACCTCAGCCAGCATTTCCTCACGTTGAATATCAACCTTTTCCACAGATGAAATTAGCTTATGATCATCTGAAAAGCACAAGTAAAATTACTACGTCCATTTTTAGATTTACGCGGGAGCAGCTCAACATCTTGAAAGCCAACTCTGTGGAAGATGACGGTGGGAATATTAATACAATCAAGTATAGCACATTTGAGGTGTTGGCAGGTCATCTTTGGAGATGTGCTTGCAAGGCACGTAAACTGCCAGATGATCAAGACACCAAACTTCTCATTCCCATTGATGGACGGTCGAGATTTCAACCCCCACTCCCACCAGGTTTCTTTGGCAATGTCATTTTTAGAGTCGCACAAATTGCTGCAGCTGGGGATCTCCAGTCCAAACCAACATCGTATGCTGCAAGCTGTGTTCATAATGCTTTGGTCCAGATTGATGATGATTATCTCAGATCAGCCGTTGACTATCTTGAGCTTCATCGTCCTTGTGCTTCCCCACTTGTTATGGGGCCTCCGTCTATGAGGTGCCCGAATCTCCGGATAAACAGTTGGGTTAGGCTGCCGATTCACGACGCTGATTTTGGTTGGGGTCGGCCCACTTTCATGGGACCTTGCACACAATTTGACGGGATGGCTTTGTTGTTACCAAGCGCAACTAATGATGGGAGCTTATCACTGATGATTTCTCTGCATTCTGACCACTTGAAATCATTTTCCAAGTTGTTGTATGATATATGAGGAAATGCGAGGGTCGAAGAAATTTGGTTCTGTCCGGTTTGAATTGCTGTTATTCCCTTCATCTTTATTGGTGTTCAAATTTGAATTTGTGTATTGGTTCGTGCACGTTGCTTGATTGAGTGTTGAAACTTTATTTCGAAAGTGTGGTGGACTTGTTGTCCACAATGCTGGTTGTGTTGTATTGTGATTCTTAATAGAGGATTCTCTTTCTCATGAAATAAAAAGAATATTGGAATCAAAAGAGTAGGAATCATAAATTCCTCAAAGAGAAAAAGGTACGAAAACTTTGTAAAGAGATTATCAAAATGGGAGATTCTCCATTACGAACTATTAAAATGCGAACTTGTTACAGAGTTTCGTTTTTAACCGGCTGATTGTTTCTATGGTGCAGATTAAAACAACATTTAATATCCCGTTTCCAACTCTCCATCTCCTTCGTCCCTCTCTTCCTCCGTTCTCATTTCTTCCCCCATCTGTATTGCTGAAATTTTACTTCCTTTTATTTTTATTTTTTTCCTTCCATCTCCCTCCCTTCTCTCGCACTCGTCGCTCCTTCCTCGCTTTCTTCTTCCATTCTCATTTCTTCCCCCATCTGCGTGGCTGAAGTTTTCTTTTTTTCCTTACATCTCCTCCTTCTCTCATTTCTTACGGTAGCTCCTCCTCTGTCTCTCCCTCTAATTTCCCTTCTCTCTGTCCTTCCCTATTCTTCTCTCCTCTCCACAGTTGTTTGCTTTCTTCTGGGATTGGAGAGTTTGTTGGGGGTTTGGATTTTGACTGTGGGGCTTTGGGTGTTTCTGGTGGGGAGCATTTGGGTTGCTGTATTTTCCTTCTTATTCCTTCCTCTTCCACCATTTTGGATTGTTGCTCTGGTTCTTTTGTTTGCCGTTTTCTCCATTTTTCTTTTTTTCTTTTCTATTCTTTTCTGTTCTATTGTTTTTTTCCTAACTTGTTTCGGCTTCCCAGAAAAAAAAAAAAAAAAACCAATTCCTTTCTCAAAACCATAAATTAGTCATACATCAATGCAGAAGAACTCAGCCAAAATCATTATATAAAAAAATAACAGAAGGAAAAGTTATGTTATTGCCATGGATGAAAGCAACAGGGAAGAGAGTGTTGTGGAGGGAGAAGCTTAGGTAGTGGATTGGAAATGGAGAAGTGCGAGAGAAGAGAGGGAGATGGAAGGAAAAAAATAAAAATAAAAAGAAGGAAAAATTCAGCAATACAGATGGGGGAAGAAATGAGAACGGAGGAAGAGAGGGACGAAGGAGAAGGAGAGTGCGAGACGGGTTATTAAATGTTGTTTTAAATCTGCACCATAGAAAAAATCGGACGGTTAAAAACGAAATTCCGTAACAAGTTTGCATTCTAATAGTTCGTAATGGAGAATCTCCCTTATCAAAATAATTAGAAATCTGAACGCCCCTCAAAGGTTATAAAAGTCTTATTTATAGGCCTATAGATACATCTTAATGATTGTACTTGCAGAACATACATTCCTAATGTAAAAATCGCTATTAATGATTGTATGTTCAAGATGCAAATTTAAACCAAGTAATGAATGTACATTAGGAATAGACACTGTACAATCAAGTACGTTGTATGATTCACAATGCACTAATACCTCTATGAATTTTGGCATCTTTATATTAGAAACAATGAACTTTGGGATCGTATCTAAATGAAGTGTTAAATTGCAAAATGGGCATGGTCGGGCCTCTTTATTTTAGGGCCTCCTTAAGCGTGGATAAAGGTTCTCTAGGCTTTATTTTTGGCCTTATGGGTCCAGTTACTTACTTAAGTGATGGGTCTAATTATTTACTTTCTTTGGGAGACCAACCTTAAATTTGGTGTAAACAGAAGCTCCTTAAGTTCTAAATTTGGTGTCAACAGAAGCTCAACAAAAGCTCAACAGAAGCCCCTTAAGTTCTAAATTTGGTGTCAACAGAAGCCCCTAAGTCTTAAATTTGGTGTCAACCACACTACTCTTTTCGATCCAATATGAAGTCTTAAATTGGTCAACCACGGCAAA